GTGGGTGCTTTGGGAGGAACGGTTGGTGAAAGGGCTGGAGGGAGGCAGCATGTCTGGCCTTGCAGTAATAGGCCTTGGGTTACTGCTGGTAATCCTGCCTTCCCCTTGTAGGGTTAGAGGAGGTCAGAACATGTGGCCTCCTTGCCGTTTTTGCAATTTGTTTTGATATATCTGAGTTGTGAATAAGGGAGCACAATAGCCACGCTTACTCATTGTTGTTGTTATGTGCTGTCAAGTCGGCCCTGACTCATAGTGACCCCTCCTTAGGTTTCCAAGGTGGTATCACTATGGAAGTAGATTGCCCAACCTTCCTTCTTAGGAATGGCTGGTGGGTTTGAGCTCCTTCCATAAGGTTACAGACAATGAAAATTGTATAGAGTGCAATTATGCTCTGACACACATGAGGTCACCCTAAGTTGGAATCAACTCAATGGCAACAGAGGGGTTTTTTTCCCCCTTTTTTGGGGGGGATGGGAGGTGGAGTGGTAACAAGATACATTATTGGTGACATTGCCAACATTCTCTGAGGGGTGATTAAATTAGGCTTTCATGAATACTTTTCTTCATAGCTTATCTAAAACTTCTACTCTGAATTTGAGAAATTTGAAATAAAAGAATGAGTAAGTATAGGCTATAATCATCCTCTCTTGATTTCACTGGAGAAAAATCACAAGTATTGGTTAATTTTCCCTAGATAAATAAAGTATGTTTTCTTCAGTATTTTCAGGATTAGCTGGAAAAAGATACTCTTTACTTTTCATGCTACTTATTCACAACAACACTGTCTGACCCCAAATAAAAACCTCTGAACCAGTTACTCCTGCACATGTCCTGCATATGACAGTAGAGCTGCCATCAGCCATCTTGGAGATATTTGTATTCTGTTTTGTATTTGCATTGATACAAAAATAAATTATGCATGTTCAGTTTCTGTAGATTTCACCTTTCTAGCCTACACAACCATTTGGTAATGGAGAAGTTGGCTTTGACTTCCTATGGAAAAAAATATTATGGTACATTTTCACTAAAATACCAACAAAACTTTATTTTAATCTGGGGGTTTATAGTGTTAAAATAATATTTTAAATTTCCAAATGTCTCCTATTATAGTAAACTGGACCCTCTGTTTAACTTACCCTTGACTGCGTATGGTAGCCCTTGTAATGCTCACAAAGAACAAGTTAATTTCATTTTCCAATGATCTAGTTAGATTTTTTTCTTGAGACTTCTGTATTATGTGTTTGAACTTTTCAGGTTGAATGAAAGTTTCCTTTTTTTTTTTTTTTAATTGTGATTTGGGTGAAAGTTTACAGAGCAAATTCATTTTCCATACAATAGTTTATACACATTTTGTTCCATAACATTGATTGCAATCCCCATAATGTAATAGCACTGTTCCCACTTCCTCCCTGTGGTTACCTTTTCCCTGTGTCCTTTTTTTTATGCATTCCTGCCCTCTGAACTATCTCCCTGTGTAAATACTGCCCTTCTGATTTCCCATGATTGATTATTCTAAGGAGTATACCTGTTTGGTATAAACATTCACATTATATGCCTTTCTGTTGTTTGGCTGGAAGCCACGGGAGTGAGTTCAATTCCAGGTCTGAAGGGTAACTAGGGGCCATAGTCACCAGTGCCTGTCAGACCAGTAAGCCTGGTGTTTATGATTTTGAGTTTTGTTCCACATTTCTCTCCCACTCTATCCAGGGTCTCTTGCTCTGATCCCTTTCCGAGTAGTTGACAGTGGTAGCCAGGTACCATCTAGTGCTTCTTGTCTCATGGTCATGTAGGCTGAGGTTCACATGGTCCACTAATCCCTTGGACTAATTGTTTTTCCATTAGTCTTTGGTTTTCTTCAGTCTTCTTTGCTCTGGACGAGTTGCTTTATCTAGATGGCTGGTTGCAAGCTTTTAAGACCCCAGTTGCTATTCACTAAAGTAGGAGGTAATGTTTTTGTGTAGTATGTTATGCCAATTGAGCTTGATGTCCCCCACAACCATAAGTTTTCATTTTTACTGTTTTTTAACTTTTATTATGTGAAATATATGTAATAGAACATTCCAACTGTTTTTACATGTATAATTCAGTGACTGAGTACATACACCATGTTGTGCAACAATCACCATTCATTTTTAATGTTTTGATTAAATTACCAATATTCATCTGCTTTATTTCTCTTTTTTTAGAATGAAAAGAAATGCTGAGAACTAAATAAAGCTCTCCTCTTCTGACTTGGATATTTATAATGGGTATTGGGAAGTCTAAAATTGATCCCTGCCCTCTTTCTGTCCCTTGGGGTAAAAGCCACAGTGTGGATACAAGTCCAAGACATCATGAGTCATATTCCAAGAAATCAGAAGAAATATCCCTATGTGATCAGACTGAGCATAGCAGTACAACACAGGAGCCAACAGGAGAGCAGGAGGGAGCTGAGAGTGTGGAAGAGATACCTGAGGAGGAAGCAGAAGAAGAGATATTCTTCAAATTTGTGATACTACATGCAGAAAGTGACATAAATGAAGCCCTCAGAGTCCAGGATCTGCTACAAGATGACTTTGATATCAAACCTGGAATAATCTTTGCTGAGATGCCATGTGGCAGACAGCATTTACAGAATTTAGATGATGCTGTAAATGGGTCTGCATGGACAATCTTATTATTGACTGAAAACTTTTTAAGAGATACCTGGTGTAAGTTCCAGTTCTATTCATCCCTAATGAACTCTGTCAACAGGCAGCACAAATACAACTCTGTTATACCCATGCGGCCCCTGAACAATCCCCTTCCTCGAGAAAGGACTCCTTTTGCTCTGCGAACCATCAACGCCCTAGAAGAAGGAAGTCGTGGCTTTCATACCCAAGTGGAAAGAATCTTCCAGGAGTCTGTGTATAAGACACAAAAAATTATTTGGAGAGAGACAAGAAATATAGCATAAAGTCAATTTATTGACTGAGACAAAACACAAAACACACGACTGGCTCTTGTGAAATAAATGACTTGTCTTCACTTTGGAAAGTGAGTTCTAGGAAATTTTGAAATAAAAGGGAATGTTAGTCTTACAGAAATCAATGGCACAAAGGAAAGAAATGTCTGCAGGACACCCTATGGAAATGTAATACTTTTAAAATTGTATTTTTTATTTGTGGTGAAAATATGTACAAAAAAACATACACTTATTCAAAATCTCTACGTGTGCAGACTTGGCTTCACTAGGGTTGGTGTCATCCAGTGCAGTAAGTAACTCATGAAGTTATTCCCCCATGGGCTTCCTCCTGAACCAGCTCATTCAAAATCCTTAGTAATATTTATTATCAATTTTAATTATGGAAAAATATGTGTTAAATATAGTTATAAATTACTTAAATGTAATATTTCTTAGATTATATGAATACTAACAACAAAATTATTTTGTTAAATCATTCCAAATTGAATTACATTATTAATAACTGAGTGAAAGCCTTTTTTTTACTTTTCTCCTCCTTTTCCTTTAACTTCTACTTCATTTTCAAAAAATTATTGATACATATTCACAAATGCTACTCACCACAATATGGTAGCTACAATGCCAAAAAATTTGACAAAATCACTGACTATAAAAACACTGGAAGCAATGAAAACAACAGCACGTGCTTGTAGCACATGCAGAAGAAACCATGTGATGTGAAGCATCATTGTAATTGGGTAATAATGCAGCTCTGACCAGAGCATGTCAGAAGGTTCAAAAAGTAAATTAGCATAGAGTTTCAGCCTCGTAGGTATATTAATACATGTAAACTGGGCTTACAAATATATTTTTGTTGTTACAAATAACTACAGGGATGTTTTTATTTTAAAAATAATAAATTTCTGCTGAAATACTGCAAAAAAATTTTATAGACAGTCATTTTGGTGTCATTTCCTCTGACAGTGTTACCCAGTGCAGTCTTCACACCCCACACTTCCCTAGTAATGCCACTGTACAGATCAGTGCTGTTGGTTACATTCTTTGCATTGTGTCACCATTCTCACTATACCCCTACTCATATTGTTTCACTATCATTAACTTTTACTCTCGTTGACCTTTAAAGTTCTCATCGGTGCTTTAGAGTTGCTGTTGTTCGTTTGATCTCACATAGATAATTCTTTAAAAGAGTGCAGTGTTTAAGGCTGGCATTCTTTATTAATTATGGTAAACTGTTACTTTGTTTACAGATGGCTTCATGGGATATTTTTGGTTCAAGGTTTAAAGAGTATTCAGGACAATGAATAGGTTCAGAGGTTTCCTCAGTCTCAATAAGTGCAGTCAGTCTGATTTCCATAAAAATTTGATGTTCTGTTACACATTTTTCCTTTTTTGATCAGGATCCATATATGGAATCCTTGATCAAAACATTCAGTAATGATAGCCAAGCACCAACCATTTCTTCTGGTCTCATGGAAGGAGAGGTAGGAGTAGTTCATGAAGGTAATTAGACCTGCAGTCCATTTCTTTCTCCAATTCCTGGATCTCCTTATTCTATGCTTAAGGTGAATAGAGACCAATTATTGTATCTTGGGTGCTTTCTGACAAGCTTTTGAGACTCCAGGCACTATGGAAATGTAGTACTTTTTTATAATGAACTCAATATTGTCAGAGTTTCAAGAACTTAATTGTTTTCCTAGTTTGCGGATATGACAGAGAATATTCTCAATTGATACTTCTTGTATTGAACCTTGTACAAAAACATATGTGATAGAATTTTATTCTACAAAAGGACACAAAAGGAAATGGCCCCAAGAGTTCTGACCACCTTCTCTCTTGAGGCACTGTTTATAGGTGTTATAATAAAAAATTCCCATTATTGTCACCAAGAAATAATGGATTGTAGGAAAAGAATCATTAGAATGTTTCATGCTGATGAATGTGAAATAAAAAGTAGGTGTAAGCATGGTGGAGCTTTTTAAAAGAATCTAGTCAAAAGCATTTTCCCTTTCTGTGGAATTTGTACATTTGGAGGCAATGCCCACTATTGTTTAGCAGCCCATTTGATACCGTGTTGGTTAGAGACTTCATGTTGAGATGTCTCTTGGAGCCTGGAGCTCTCCAACTTAGCCGTTGTTTGTAACCAGGGCTTTATTTGCAGAGCTTCTGAAAGATGTATGATTGTGTATGATTGACCAGATGTTCTCCTTCAAAATCAATAAACTCTCTATGGCAGTGTTTAAAAAGTATCTCTCACATACAATGCTCTATCCAGGAAATATTTCTCATCTGGATACTCAGGGTAGCTGAGTGTGTATGCATGTTTTGTAGATTATTTTTAAAAGACTTTGGATAGATGTTGTTGTTGTTGTTGTTATATGCCGTCGAGTCGGCCCCGACTCCTAGCGACCCCTCCTTGGGTTTCTGAGGCAGTATCACTACGGAAGTAGGATTGCCCAACCTTCCTTCCGAGGAGTGGCTGGTGGGTTTGAACCGCCAGCCTTCTGGTTAGCAGTCAAGTGCTTTAGCCACTATGCTACCAGAGCTCCCTGGATAGATGTAGGAGATGTATTTTATCACCTTTTCTAGTGCCCTAGACTCATTAGAAGCTAGATAAACCCCAAACAGAACTACTCCTTTCCCTCCCAGCCCTTCTGTTCATCTGATAATGAGGGAGCAACATCAAGTACAGATTGGGGATGGGGTGGAGTGTGAGTTACATTATGTTGTCATTGGAATGACATCCAATGGGGATTCAGAAGACCTGGTTCTAGTCCAATCTCTGCCATGGAGGATGAGTGTGACTGTGGGCAAGCTACTTCCCTTCCTTTATATGTGAAATGAAAAGGTTGGATTGATGGATCCCTAAGGGCCTTTGTCCTCATGCAGAATGTGAAAAATTAGGAATCAGAAAAGGGAACAAGTGGAAAAGATGGAATTTTATACTTAGAAATGTAGTATAATAGTTGCAGGAGGCTGTACTGCAGTAAATTACTTAATATAGCCCTTCTAGTGGAGCTCTAGTAGCATAGTGCCTAAGGCATGTGACTGCTAACCAGAAGGCTGTTGGTTCAAACCCACCAGCCACTCCTTGGAAGCAAGGTTGGGCAATCTACTTCCATAGTGATACCTCCTTGAAACCCAAGGAGGGGTTGCTACGATGTGGGTTTGATTCAACAACAGTGAGTAGTGGCTCCCACCAGATGACTGTGCAAATGTGAGGTGCTTGCAGCCCACCAAGGGGACTGGATAGCTTGCTAATAATGTAAATAAGGTGCATGGCACCCTTGTGGAAGTGGGGTCATGCAAATAATGTGTATGGAACCCTCACGTGGGGAATGGTCAGTTTTGCCTATCACTAGGCTTAAAATGAACCATCCCAGAAGCAGAAGGGGAGATCTCACTACTATCAAGAAAGAAAACCCAGGAGTGGAGCATGTCCTTTAAACCTCAGATCCCTGTGCTGAACTTCCTCTGGAAACAGAGAGCTGTGACACCAGTGATGGTGAGAAGGAGCAGCAGAGAAATGGCAGCAGAGGCAGCAGAACCAAGAGACTGGCACGAGACAGAGTGATGGGCTTCCTGCCACATGTATAATGAGAATACCAAGTGCCTTCAGGCAGGAGGCTGGTTGGTGGAGTGGGTTGCTTCTCTGGGCATCTATCAGCAAAACTAAAAGAGCTTTGTAACACATACCTATGCAAAGCAGAGGTCACTCTGAGGGGCCAAGGACCAGACAGAGGGACCTGCCTTTGGACATGGCTAAGGGGAGGCTGTCCTGATGATAGAACTGTATCCTGAGTATTTCCGACCTTGGATCGTAACTTCCCTAGTAAACCCCATAATCATGAATATTGTCCGTGAGTTCTGTGGCCACTGAAACAAATTATGGAACCCAGCAGAGAAGTAGAGAGTGCCATGGAAGGGGTGGTTGGTGTCAGAATAAGTAAAAGCATTGGAGGGTGGAGACAAGTTTGACCTCTACTTCACAGGAATCAACCTTGAGCTGTTGATGTTGATCCTTCTCCCCACCTGTGAAGTTAGAGCTCAGATACCATCCCTTTGTCATTTTTACAGGGGCTTTGTATATACTTACAGGGAGCTCTCATGGCCTTGTCGTAAGGCATTTGGCTGCTAACCACAAGGTCAGCAGTTCAAACCCACCAGCTACTCCATGGAAGAAAGATGAGGCAGTCTGCTTCCATAAAGATTTACAGCCTTGGAAACCCTATGGGTGCTGTGATGAGTCAGAATTGACTAGATGGCAATGGGTTTGAGTTTATATATACCTACTATTAAGAAATAGGTTTATATGTTTACAGCATAAATAATTTTCAATCCTATTATACTTTTATGGTCACAGAAAAGAATGATAATGCTTACTTGGGTTTTTAAAAATGCATTTTTATAGGGATCTTTTGAATGAAGACATTCTAATTTTTCTTTCTCTTTATCCCCACTTCTCATTATCTCCTACAAATACATCTTTCTGAATTGACTTCTTCACAGTCATGAGTCAGAGTGTTCCATGAGGAACATGTTCCAATAATCTTACATGTCAAATCTCTGATTCTATTAGTACTTGTGAAAGGAGAAGTTTGTTTTCATTGTATGGTGACATTTTCTTGACCTAAAGTCTCTTTCTATCATAATGTCTTATTACTCACTTTTTCAATTTTAGTATTAAGTATTCTCTTTTTTTTTTTCCCACATAGCTCAAATTTCATATACCAGTGAAACATTAACCACCCACACTTCATGCCTGCCAAACTTGGAGAAATAGAAGCTGGATGGTATTTTTTTTTTTT